TCGAGGTTCAGGCTACGATCCGTCGATGGTAACCATCAATTGTACCTGCAATTTTTATGAAAAACTTAATTTTTGTGTGTTTTGGATACAGGGTGTTAAAATATCTCCCCCTTGGGAACATTCGTCCTCGAATAAAGACTAAACTAGCTGAAATAAAGGGAGAGAGATGCAAATCCTACTACTAAACACTGAGAACTTAGTTTATAACTGAATTGAATTTCGAGAACATGCAAATACATTGAAAATGCAAGTATAAATTGAGGGAACATGATTCTAAGACTGAATTCACGCATGAATGATTGGAAAACTGTAGAGGAACTATAATCTCAAGCTTGAGTGGAATAGGAAGGAAAGAGGTGAGGATACTTGGCTTCATGGCTGCTTCTGCTTCCCAAGTATCTCCCTCTACGGACTAAATCTCAAGCTTGAGTGGAATAGGAAGGAAAGAGGTGAGGATACTTGGCTTCATGGCTGCTTCTGCTTCCCAAGTACCTCCCTCTACGGACTAACTCCTCCACAAAACCTTGACTGAAGCTACTTCTTTGTTACTCAACCTTCTAACCTTACGGTAAAGAATCACAATTCTGGTACATCCTCATAAGAAAGTCTATCTATCACCACGACACTCTCTAATGGCACTATAGAGGCTGGGTCACCCATACACTTATTCAAGAGTGAGATGTGGAAGACCAGATGCAGTGCTGCTGATTCTACTGGCAATTCTAACTCATATGCCACCTTGTCAATGATTTTCAAAATCTTGTAAGGGCCTACATATCTAGGACGTAGCTTCCCTTTCTTTCCAAATCTCATCACCCCTTTCATAGGTGAGACATTCAGAAAAACCCAATTATCAGCTTGGAACTTTAGTTCTCTTATCTTTATATATGCATAAGATTTCTAACGACTTTGGGCTGTCTTAAGCCTTCTTATGAGTTGCACATTCTCGTAGCATCAAGGACAGAATTTGGCCATATCAAGGCTTCTTCACCTACTTCAAACCAACCAACGGGAGATCTACATCTACGCCCATACAAAGCTTCATAAGGGGCCATCTAAATGTTGGAATGTGATACGCTCAAACTTCCTTCTCAAATAAGAAGTAAATCGGTCGTATCAAGTAAAGAACCCAACTAATGAGGTTGGGATAGTTTCCACGAGGAAAACAGTTCAGACTTAACTTTATTATATTATTACTATTATTTAGTCAATTATTTCCCTAGAAAACAAAAGACAATAAAGGGGGGTTTTTATTTCTAAATTAATGAAAATAATTAACTAGATCAAAATAAACAACTAACAGATTCAAATGTTGGAACTTAATCAATTAATAAAAGTAACTAGAGCTTAAGTGTTCCCCACAAGTTCCTAACTTGATAATTCTAACTATAACAATTCTTTCCTAGTATCTTGCATGTAAAGTTATAAGTTATGTATCTCGAAATCCTTGGTACGACATCTAGAAAATTTCACTCCGCACCTTGGTCCGGCTACGTGTGTTGCTATACTAACCCTTACCTTTACCTCATATTAAGCATTGTATTCGATATTATACTAAGTTATTACCTCGTACCAATCGACACTAGCCTATTAGATAGTGTACACTAAATCTATGTTGATAATTTTTTTCCTATTATCTACCTCCTTAGTCCGGCAAGTAGCATTAAGGCAAGTTCTAACATTGGCCATCCTTTAAAAAGACTTCTAAACGAAAGAATTATCAGTACATGCAAGACACTATTCTTGAATTGCTATTTTAGTTAGATTTTACCTCATTATTCGCCCATGGTTCCCACAACCCTAGTTATGGAGTTTAGTTACCCATGGTCATAATCACACTATTCATATATTTAATATAAGAGTTCATACATTTACTTTAATGAGAAAGAATAAAATTCAGAAATTCACTTGATTAATCAACAAAAGCACCAACAATCCATTCAAGAAAAAGTGTATGAATTACTGAAATTAATCCGTCAATACTTGAATAAGAGAACTAAAGTTTATCAAAAAGTCCAACTCTCCAAAAGTCTAACTATCAAAAAGTCTAACCCCGAAAACGAGGTTTTCTAACTATTTATAAAAAACAAAAACTTAATAAAGAAGGATTCTAATTACTAAAATCTGTCAAAACGCGTCTGGGTCGACGGACCGTCGTGGTCATGACGGACCGTCGTGGTCATGACGGGCCGTCATGGCCTCTGTCATCACATACTTCACAAATCCTTATGCTGCTTTCTTCATTACCCTCAACGAACAGGTATGACAGACCGTTCCAAGCACGATGGTCTGTCGAGGGTCTACGTTCCGAGCACGACGGTCTATCGAGGGTCTCCGTTCCATAATACTTTAAATTTTTGGAATTCGGGTACTGGGACTACTCTCTGATCATTACGACGAACTAGCAGGACGGACCCTAGTAGCTATGATGGTCCGTCGTGGACTTTCGTAATCCCACACTAGGTCAGACTTCCCCATCTTCCTTCAGCAGCTTCACTACGATGCCACCTACGGACCGTCACAAGCTCGATGGACCGTCATAAGCTCCGTAGGTGGTCTCTTCTGCATTTCTCGCTCAAAAACTTCCGCGTTCATCTTTGGACAAATTTCCTGTAAATAAAGAGAAACTTACATAAAAATGCATACAAAAAGGCTTTTGAACACACACTAAACTTAAGGAAAAAGCATTTAAAATACCGTCAAACCACGGTACATCAGAATGGTAGCTATTGTTGTAGGCGAACTCAATAAGAGGAAGGTGATCATCCCAACTACCCTTAAAATCGATCACATAAGCTCTTGACATTTCCTCTAGGGTCTGAATGGTACGCTCTGCCTATCCATCCGTTTGCGGATGAAATCTTGTGCGAAGGTTAATTTGAGTACCAAGACCCTTATGAAATGACTTCCAGAAATGATAGGTAAACTGAGGACCTTTATCTGAGATGATAGACAAAGGAACCCCATGCAACCTCGTAATTCCATTAATGTAAATCTTGGCATAGTATTCTGCTAAATCTGTAGTCTTGACTTCCAAAATGCCAGAAGATTTAGTCATCCTATCAACTATTACCTAAATGAAGTCATGCTGCCTCAAGTTCGCAGTAACCCTGTGATGAAATCCATATTGATCACATCCTACTTCCATGTAGGAATGTCGATCTCTTGAATCATAGCCCCTAGTTTCTGATTTTCTACCTTGACTAGCTGGCAGTTTGGGTACTTACTCACAAAATTTGCTATATCCCTCTTCATGGCATTCCACCAATAGAGTTCCCGCAGATCACGGTACATCTTAGTGGCACCTGGATTAATAGAATACGTGGTGTTACGGGATTCTCTAAGAATATGTTGTCTCAACTTTCCCACATCAAGAATACACAATCTACCCTGGTAGCGAAGTACACCATCTCCCCCTTGGGAGAAAACGTCCACTCTCTGATTGTGGACTGCACCCTTAAGTTCAAGAAAGATTGGATCACTGTCTTTCTTTTCCTTAACCTCCTCTACAAAAGAAGATTCTTCCTTATTCTTAACTGTTACATCACTGTCAGATATGCTCATAAGGCGATCTCCTATGTGAGCAAGCCTGTGAACATACTTCACTAGCTCCTTCTTTTCTTCCTCAACATGGGCTATAGACCCACTGATAATCTACTAAGGGCATCTACTACTACATTCGGCTTACTAGGATGATAATGCTCACTCATATCATATTCCTTAAGGAACTCAAGCCATCTCCTCTGGCGAAGATTTAACTGTTTCTAAGTAAACACATACTGAAGGCTCTTATGGTTAGTGAATACATCTACATGAACACCATACAAGTAGTGTCTCCATATTTTGAGTGCAAACACCACTACTACGAGCTCGAGATCATGAATTGGATAATTCTTCTCATGCACCTTAAGCTGTTTCGAAGAATAAGCTATAGCCTTATCTCGCTGCATCAACGCACAACCTAGGCACACTCTGAATGCATAACAATAGATCACATAACCATCTGAACCCTCTATAGAGTGAAGACATGAGTTGTAGTCAATCTAGCATTCAATTTTGCAAAGCTTTTCTCACAATCATCTGAACATTGAAACTTGACCATCTTTTGAGTTAATCTAGTCAATGGTGAGGCTATAGATGAGAATCCTTCAACGAACCTTCTATAATAACCCGCTAGACCTAAGAAACTTCTGATATCTGTAGCAGTAAAGGTAGGTCTGGGCCATTGTTTCACTGCTGTGAATCCTCTCGGATTGCTTTGCTAGATACAATGTGACAAAGGAAAGCAACGGATTGCAACCAAAACTTACATTTGCTAAACTTATCGAAAAACTGACGATCCGTGAGAGTCTGTAGAACAATTCTCAAATGACTTGTATGTTCTTCCTCATTCTTAGAGTAAATGAGGATATCATCAACAAAAACGATAACGAACAAGTCCAAGTACTGTTTAAACACTCTGATCATCAAAACCATGAAAGCTGCAAGAGAATTGGTTAGTCCAAACGACGTAACTACAAATTCATAATGACCATACCGAGTCTTGAAGGTTGTTTTTGGAATGTCACTATCTCTGACTCTAAGATAATGATAACCTTATCTGAGGTCTATCTTTAAGAAATGGCTAGCACCCTAAAGTTGGTCAAACAAGTCATCAATCCTGGGGATGAGATACTTATTCTTGATTGTGACCTTGTTCAACTATATATAGTCATGCACATTCTGATAGAACGATCTTTGTTCTTTACAAACAACACTGGCGCACCCCATAGAGAAATACTAGGTCTGACGAAAACTGTCACAGCCAGAGTCTAGACCCCAGACGAGACAGGCGTTGTTAACCTCTCAGAGGTCGCATACAAGCCTACATGGGTCATACTTCATCTAGGTTAATTTTAGCGGAAAGTTTGAACTTTTTGTTTTCTTATTTGATGTGAAAGATATTATACTTAACATCATACGCGTTCACAAATAAACCATCTAATAAAGAGATAATCAAATGAAAGAATTAGTTCATAATTTTACTAAACGTATTTTTGCCAAAATGGCACCAATATAAAGTCTGAAAAAAGTGGAAATAAACGCTAGTGGAACATGCTCCACTAGCTATATCCTACAACTAAGATAGATAATAACGGTACACATCCTCGAAAGAATGAGGGCCTACCAAGTACGGATGAAAGCTCCACGTTTGGATAGCTGCAACGTCAACCTATAAGCTCTAGCGTCCACCTATGTCTGCACCTAAAATTATAGAATTGTATGGGATTAGTACACACTTAACTAAGTATGAGTATATGCAAGTACACAACACGAACATGCATGAGTAAGAAAAGCTCTGTCCTAACAACATGATTATGGAAAGTTAAGTCAGTGGACTTGCCAAATTTGGATTAGGAAACTTAGTAAGCTTTCTAAATTTGTATTAGGAAAGTCATGCCATGAGAGTAACATGCATCATCATACGTATCATATTGCACACAGTACATAACATTTTACACATAACACATAACATATTTCTTATAGCACATAACATATTTCATATAGCACATAACATCTTTTATATCATTATTTCATATTCCATGAGACCTTGGAATCATGGACTTAACATTAAGACTCCCCAACAATGAGGGCTCAACATATGAGACCTCAACTAGGGAGCCCTGATTAGCAAACACAGAGTCTGCTTCATTCATTCGTACGTATGTCATTTCATTCATTCATAAACTAGTGTAAAGACCAGTTATACCCAGGATGTAGTTTAATTCTTTCATCGGGTTCGCCGTGCCATGATAAGAAATGAACTAGTTTCATTACTTAAGTGTAGCTCACCTCTTGATTATTCTATCCTAACACCTTTTGTATCATTCATTTCATTATGTGGATCATCTGAGGCTGGCCTATTTCATTCATGGGGAACTTTAACTTTAACCGACATAGATCATGTGAGCATCATAAAATCTTGTATCTCCCCCACACCGAAAAAAGGTGGAATCACCGTCCAAAGTGACCCAAAATATGCTAGCATACATGGGAAATAAACCCCGCCATATTCCTATATTGACAGTATAGGTTCGAAGACTAGGATATATAAGGAAACCCATACCCGGCATGCCGGACAGTCTCATCTCTTGAGAGTTACGTGAACCTCCGCCCTTTCTAAAAGAAGGCATCACTGATCATAGCTAGTCTATTGGTGCTCAATATAAACTTCCATTACATTTAACTCATACCTCATGGAAGTTGGCTTCTAGTATGAGGAGATCATAGCTCAATAGACGATTTCTCATATCATCATTAGTATTAAGTGTGTTAGTCTCAATACTTTCATTAGAGTGTTCATAAAGACTGGTGTCTTGATTAACTTTAAACTCTCACAGGTGAGTACGTTTTGGTAACAATTTTCTTAGGATCATTTAAGATTGCTCTCATCTTTTACATTAGCCTCATATCATGTTGTCACCACAATAATTAGAATTAGCACATTTTGTCTTCATAATTACTCACCCCTTTTTACGTAAATGTTCATTTCATCATATGCTAATGCACTTGACCATTTAGTGTGCTTTGCACTCTTATTTAACCCTTATAGGGTTTCATCATTTAATTGTTCATATAATCATTTCATTACATGCATCTTAGGTTCACTTACTTATAACGTATGCTAGACTTACGAGTCTATACATACAAGTCATTAGGCTTCATTCATAGTTCGTTTAAATGATTAATATCTTCCTAAGATTATGTGGTACAAGACCTATGCATCTCGTATGTATGCCAAGATCTCGATTCCGATCTATGTAGGCAGCATTATGTTGAACATTTATTCAGGTATGACTTATGTATCAATACAGAAATTTGGGCAAGGGAACTCGGTTTCGAATCCCTTGGACAACACTTATATTTTTCTATTTATTTATTTCCGGTCACACAACATTGGACCCGAGATCAAGCCCCAACGTTGTCATATTTTTCTTCTTTATTTTATCTTTTTCTTTTATCCGTTTGGGGACTGAGAGGTTGTGGGATCGATCCCCCACAACATCATTATTTTATTTTTGTTTAATCTTGACTTTTTTGAGTTGACTATGAGGTTGTGGGATCGAACCCCCACATCCTCACTTTATTTTTCTTTTAATCCTACTTTTCCGCCTAGAGGTCGTGGGTTCGATTCCCACGCCTCACACTTATATTCTTTTCATTTTTCCTTAAGCTTGACGAGAGGTCGTGGGTTCGAATCCCACTCCTCTCATTTCTTATTTTCATACATTATTTTCCAGCCAGGAGCACGGTTCAATTCCCCGTTACCACATTGTTTTCACTTCTTTATTTTAACAATTTTTAACGTGGTGAGGTCACGGGTTCGACCTTTAGTGCCTCACTTGTTTTTCTTCACTTTTAATGACATTTTAAACAACTTAACTTGGCTGAAATTAATCAACAATGTGCTGGAAATTTGAGTTATATTTTCAGCTTCTTTTCCATTACATTACACTTTAGTTCTTAGGGAAATTTCATAGTGCATTTAGAACGTTTTAGGTGAATTTTCATGGTTTCGTTTAGCCAAGAGATTATCACTCAAATCAGCCACATTTCATCTGATATGAACATCACGATTTACATAAACATGTGTACATGAAATAAAAAGAACTAACATGCCATTTAATTTCATAAACCATGACCAATAGCCACGACAACACACTCAAACGCACGTAGTTATATTTTGGAAAAACATCAACATAAGTCACATAATTCCAAACATACATATAAACACATAAGCATCACGAAAACACGTTTTATCCCTAGTTTTCTACCAGCAAACATAACCAACATACGATTCAATGGGATCTAGTGACAGGGACATGCAACGGGGAACAACCCTAGTTTTCGGACTGAATATACAGAACCTTAAGGGGTATCTTGGGAAAGGGACCAAGAAACAAGAGAACTTATACCTTTTTGACGTTCAAACCTTGACTTGTTACCCAAAGAAATCCTCCAAACACACGTCCAACACCGAAATTTCAACACCAAAGTCGACGGACAACCTTCTCTTTGCCAACGTGATTGATTTCGTTGTTTGTTTTTATCTTTCGTGGTGAGTTCTTCAAGTGTGAAGAACTTGGTTTATATTTCTGTTCTTGAAGTTACTTTGGCAGAGAGAACGTGAAAGAGAAGAGGGATTGAACGTGTGTTGAGCGATAGACATGAGAGGAGAGAGTTATCTTAGGTCTAGGAGTCTAGTTTAGGACTTAATCAAATAAGGTTTAGTTAAATATTAAAAATATGATTTCCCTTTGATTTTAAATCAGCCAATAAATAATAAGTATTAATTAATTACATTAATTTACTAAATTAAATAAAAAACAATTTAAATCATCGCTTCCACCTAGGTTCGAACCCCGGTGGGGCAAGACTTCACTTTAAGAGCCAATTTTTGGTCCCTCTCTCCCAAAAATGCCCCTCCACGTTATTAATTAAATAATCAATTATAGATTTAGGGTAATTATGATACTACCTTTATCTTGGAAAAAGACCATTTTACCCAAAGACCTTCCAAACCTAAGATTTTTCCTTTTTAAGTCCGGTAAAAACTCATCCAAGTAAATCTTCATATTCGAGAGCCCTACATGATTGGACCCGACCTTTTCTAGCTCAAATAACTCCCCAAGTTAGTTGGCTAGGCAATAGAAAGGGTTTAGAGATATGGTTCTACGCGCATCAATCTGTGTGAACTTGATCTAATCGTAGGCATTCTGGACACATTAAGCATTACTTAGCATATCTTTTTTTAGGGTTGTTACAAAACCCTTATCTAGAAGGTCTTTCAACTGCTCTTTCAATTCCTTAAGCTCTTCTGGAGCCATCTGTATTGAGGAATAGAAATGGGTTGGGTATCTGGAAGGAGATCAATTCCAAAATCAATTTCCCTTTCGGTAGGGACTTTGGGAAGATCTTTAGGAAGTAATTCTGCCAACTCACATACTACTAGAACAGACCCAAAAGTTGGGGTTTTGAAGATACAATCCTTAACCCGAACTAGATAACAGAGATAATCCTTTGAGATCATCTTTCTGCCATAAGGTAAGAAATGAATCGATCATAGGCGCTTAGATACTACCCTTCAATTCTAAGATTTGGTTCGTCGAGAAACTAAAAATAAACAATCCTAGTTCTACAATCGACTGAGGCATAAGACGAATGTAACCAATCCATTCCTAGAATGACATCGAAGTCTACTATTTCTAACTCTACAAGATTTGCTGAGGTTACTTTTTGAGAGACCGCGATGGGCAATTTCTGTATACCCGTCTAGCTATAATTGGGTCACCGACTCGAGTAGACACTGAGAAAGGTTCTGAGAGAGTTTATTGACAAACACTGAATTGGAATTTTACGTATGGACTTCAGAAAGAAAGAGTAGCCCCTGTATCTAACAATATATAAGCATTGAGGTCAAAGACTCGCAATGTACCAGTAACTACATCAGGAGAACCTTCCTAATCCTGGCGAGCCTGAAGAGCATACAACCTGTTCTGACGCTGACCACCACCTGTACCAAATGAGTTAACTTGCAGAGTCGAGCGACTTGCTGGTGTTGATGAAGTTGTTTAATGATTTCTACCATTTCCACCTCTTTGACCCTTTCTAGAAGGACAATCCCTCAACTTGTGACCTGACTGAACGCGTCCAAAACATCCTTCTTTTCCTGCGAGACACTCGCCCGGGTGATTCTTATTACACTTAGGGAAAGTGGGGTGAGTCTTGGTTCCTGCTTCTCTGAGACTTAGGGCATGGTGCTCTACCCTTCTAGTCATACCTATTCTTAGAGGATGGAACACTAGCTGACGAAGGAGCTGGAGCTGAAAACTTCTGCTGACTCTGTGAGCGACTTCCACTACCCAATTTCTATTGGGAATTGTCATAGTTCCCAGTCCTAGCCTTTTTACTCTCCTTAGCCTATTCCCTAAGCTTATCACCCTCAACCTGCTGAGTATGTTCATATCTCCTAGTAACATAGCATTTTGACACTCAATTTTAACCAAATCTGACACTCCATACAAGAACTTATTCATGTGAGCCCTGGAGTTAGCAACCATGTGAGAAGCATACCTGGAGAGTTGGTTAAATTTCAGCCCATACTCTTGGATTGTCATGTTACTCTGCCTCAATTTCATGAATTCTTGAGCCTTTGCCTCTCTCAACTCTATTGGGAAAACCTGTCGAGAAAAGTCTCACTAAACAATCCCATTTGATATGAGCCGCATTGGCACCCCTATTGTGCTTCCACTTAATGTACCAAATATGAGCAACATCCTTCAACTGGTTTGATGCCAACTCAACTCGATCATTCCCAGTGACTCGCATTACCTCAAAGTTTTTCTTCATCTCATCCAAGAAATTCTGACGATCCTCATTAGTTTGAGATCCTAAGAACTCAGACACATTCATCCTAACAAAGTCATCGACCCTTAATGATACTTATCTACTGTTTTCAATCACATGAGCATGAACCTGATTTTTCTGGTTAGCCATACTCTGAGCCAACATCTATATGGCAATCCTGAATTCAACATTGGAGACTTCTTGATCTGGGACTAGAGGAGCTGTGTTTGCATTCTTGGCATTTGCATTCCTAGCGTTAACTCTCAGAGAAGACATGATCTGAAACGTAGAATCTCAAGTAAGAGTGGAACTATATCATACCTTACGCACGATAAGAGTAACAACAAAGTGAAGTTTTCCTAAAACACTTCATAGCCTCCCTCTCATTAAATGTGGTGCACTTTACTCCCATGAAAGGGACTCTACTTAGTGCGACTTTTAAAAAATCCTAGGACACTTGAACCTAGTGCTTTGATGCCAAGTTTTGTCACGCCCCGAGCTACCGTCGAGACGCGAACGCGGAACCTAGGACCACAAGTGATCCTAAGCTAAACCTGCTGGCATGATCATGAGCATACTAAAGATAATAAACAAACTGCGGAATCTAAATCATAGATTAAACTGAAAAGATGGGGAATACCTATATGCTATAACTGAGATAAATGAAGTACTGATGAGTGTAATACAAATAAGATATTAACTCACTACTAAGTTGAAATCCTCTATTGGACTAGAAATATAAGGACAAGCCCCAACTAAGTGTAGAAAAAACTGAAACTAAATGATTAAAAGACTAAAATGAACTCATAACTATTGTCCTCGAAGAATGAGCACTCACCACTGAATGTACTGAAACGGAGATCGAAAATCCATCTAAGCGCGATCTGGATGTTGAGAACCTGAACCTACATCACGAGAATATGTAGTACATGTATAAGTGGTTCTTTTCAGGGAGTGGGTAAGTGAATTCTCGATTGACGAACAAAGGCTACGGACCGTAGGTCTGTCCGTCGTTCCACAGTCAAATTTTTCTGGGCTGAGTTTTTTTGGGGGTTTCTGACTCAATCGATGAATGTGCAAAACTGGCCATGGTTCAGGCTACGGTCCATCGATTGCAGCTGCAGTTTTTTTGAAAAGATAAATTTTTGGTCTGTTTGGATACAGGGTGTTACAGTACTACTCGTAGTATACAATATGGTTAGTTGGTTTAAGGTATGATCTATTGGAATCTTAAGTGTGGTAGTGTTACTCGTAGTATACAATGCAGTTAGTATGTTTAAGTTATGATCTATTGGAATCTTAACTGTGGTAGTGTTATTCGTAGTATACAATGTGGTAAGTATGTTTTAGTTATGATCTATTGGATTTTTAAGTGTGGTAGCGGTACTTTAATATACAAGGTTGTTAGCGTTTAGTTTCTAATCTCATAAGAAAAAGATGGGTTGTAATTTGAAGGTGTTCTATTTAAAGGCTAAGGGAGTAGAAGCGGGGGATCTAGACATGATCTTTTATTGATCTGTTCATATATTATGAGGTGGGTGTCAGGTCGACAGATTATACCTACCAGAACGTATGGTTTTACTGATACTACTCTTGTTGTGCCTTTTTTGACATAGTCTGGATGCTTCATTTGTGACGTTTCATTAGGTGAAGATGAAGAAATCCTCCAGCAGCTTCGAGTCTTCTTTACGCATGGTGGGAGCTGTTTCCTTATATTAAATTGTTATCTTGTTGTAATTCTTAGTAGCTCTTCTACCTGTTAAACTAGATCCAAGGGGTTGTGAAGTTACATAAAATGTTCAAGTGCATGAATAGGAGGTCGTAATAATGATTTACCCTATAACATGTCTATTTTCTTAAATTTCCTTGACTTGCCTTCATTTTCATCAAATTTCGCATGTTTTCTAGTAGTTGGTTATGTGGTGCTAGAATAGGTGACGACACGGTCCAGTGGGTTGGGTCGTGACACCACATCAAATTTAAAACAGAAATGGTAAAATTTTAGACCGCTTAAAAAAAAAGAAGATGCAAGCTATAACTAAGGGTGGGGGTGAGTGTGATTTATAAGTTCATTTATGCAAGCTAAGCATTGAAGGGTATTTAAAGGACAAAATGAGATGATACGTTACTAAATTAATTTTGGCCGTTGATTGCTATATTAATGAATTACGTGAATCTAAGAATGAAAATGGATTAAATTCAAGATTTTTCATCCGATTCAATCCATTTTGAATGATTATTATCAGATTATTTTAAGAGTGTAGGTCAAATATGAATTCATATATTTATTTATCATAAAATATGAATATCATTTGATTGTTACCCTTGAATCTACCTTTTGGGAATGACCAAACTCAGAATCATTATTGTCTGGTCTGGCATATTGGGTTTTGCATTGATTTTGTTTCTTATTTTAAGTTTATTTTTTTCCTTCAAGAGAACTCAAAGTATTATCACAAATGGTTGAACTTCTACTGAAAGGAAAACATATTCTTTACTTTTTAAAGATATATAAATTAAATTTTCCTGTTCTCATAGCACAACGCAATAGAATTTACAATGTAGTCATCTAGGAGTTTTGTTTATAGGGGGATTTGTTCTCTCAATAATTTTAATATTTTTCATTTATATTAGTTTTTATCAATGATATTATGTTTTCTATATAAATTTTTGTCGTCTGATTTATCAATGATATGATATGCAATTGTAAGTTTCCGCATGATGCACAATTCACCTTTCATAACTCAACAAGTGTATTAGAGCATATGTTCATTGATCTAATGTGGTTTCAAACTAGTTTGCTGATAAAGAAGATTTATCGTATTTTAAACATTCATGTTGGTGCATCTTTGAAAATAAAAATAAAATATTTTAAAACCATTTTTAAGCCATATATTTTAAACTTTATCTTAACCATGAAAAACAACAGTGATAAAGACTATGTGAAAGAACGAAGATTATCATGCATGTGAGGAAAGTAGATCAAGTTTTTTCAAGATAATTCAGTCAAAGAGGGAGATTTGTTATGGTATTGACCTGATTTTTTTTCCTTATTATTTCAAGCTTATTTTTTTCTTAAAGAAAAATCAAAGTATTACCATAAATTCTTGAACTTCTACTAAAAGGAAAATATAATATTTCTCTTTATTTGGTTTATTCTTTCCTTCGAAAAAATTTGAAGATCTATGAATAATCGATCCCTATTCTCATAGCACAACACAATATCCATGATGTAGTAATTTAGGAGTTTTTTTTTAATGAAATTACACCACCAACATCTAACCACAAATAATCAAGGCACTTCATCAAGGTGAATTAATAGAGTTATTCAAGTATTCAAGGCACAATCTATACCACAAACCAACAACGTTTTTATTTTACCCCTAGTTATAGTTACAACACTTATTGACCATTTACAAGACAAAAAATATACCAAACCCTTCATCAGTTTTAATTACTCAAAATTACATAATGACGTAAAAGGCCCAATACACTTAACAAAGATTCAAAAGGTCCACTTGCCTTAAAAGAGAGTGAAATCAATTTGGTACTTGGGCCTTCCCTTTATGATAAGTCTCCAAATCTACCAAATCTAATCAAATATATTATCTCAATAAAAATCTTGAACAACAACATCTGTAAAGTTGTTATTGAAAACTAGGTTAGAAACGACCCAAAAATCGATCCCCAAGGCTAAAGGTAAAATAATAGAAAATGATATAACCCAAATATTTTGAAACTGGAAAATGACATTGTAACGAAAAAAATTTAGCATTATGCTCCAAACTCTAATTTACTTACACAAAGTCATGAGAAAAGCCCTAATACTCGGGTCTGGAACCCCGGCTCGAATACGAAAAATAGATTTAAAGATAGATTACTCATGCTTAGGAAAGTTCAAATATGTAATTTCATCAAAAACAAAGTTAAAATCGACGTACCTTGAAATCCTCAACTTATCAAACTTTAACTTTACCCATAAAAAAACAACTCAAATTCTCAAGTTTATACGCGGTCAATATGATAAAACTAATTTATGAATCAACAACTTATGCCAAGATCAATTTACCTATAAACATAAGGATCTTAATTATACACTTTTCAATTAAAAAAAAAGTCTAAATCAATGAACTCCAATTTCCCCCTAAGAAATACACCAATAAGGAAAGAAAACCATATGCAGAAATCATGAGATAATGCCAAAATGAAAATTGCTTACCAACCTCCATATTATATCAAGAAGAACGTCACAAGAATCACTCTATTCCAAGCTCTAGAACTCCTAATGTGCTCAAAATACAAAATGAACATAGTCTGAAATTTTAAATACCAGAACATCAATATTTACACCATAAAGAAATGACATAATTCTATTTTCTAAATGTATTAAATAATCACACGGCCCTGCTCGATAATTCTGAATTCAAGTCTGTGCTCGTTTACCTAGTCAAATATCATTTATGCTCTATAAATAATTCTTTCATGTATCATGATAAAAGTCTAATCCCGACATAGTAAAAATGCACCAAACACCGCTGATCAATACTATAATTCATGCTCAAAATTTTAGAAGTTTCAGAATAGTGTTTTGATAGCTAAAACTAATAACAAACCTTATAGTTGAACAAATTGTTGAAACAACGTCAAAGCACTCAAAAAGCTTAGAAAGTCACTAGAAACTCATTTGGAACCTCCTAAACACAAACCAAATATGTTATAAGATTGGAAATGATATTTCGGACTCAATGAAATCATCAAAATAACAAAACATGGTCATCTTAATACAATAATCACCAAATTCAACTTTAACTTAAATATATTAATTTCTAAAGAAAGATAAGAAACTCATCCAAAAGCTTCGGAAACTTAACCAAACCTTCAACTAGACCAAAGATCATCATTTTAACCTAGTGAAATCATCAAAACTTGAAAATGAGCTTTTTAACCTCAAACATTAGCTAAAGTAAAACTTTAATCTTAACTTTCTCTTCATCTCGTCCAATGGCTCAAAATCAAACAAAAAACCATGGGACCCAAACCAATCATTCATCAAGACCAAAAATCGCATTTTAGAGCCAACAGAATTGTCGAAATGCCATTGCGAGATTGCAATCACCAAATACTAGCTATGCTCAAATATCTTATTTTTCAACTTTCAAAATTAAAAAAAAAATATACAAGAAACCCCCATCTAAATACCTCGACCTAAGTCAATAGTCCTAATAACTCAAAAGTTACATTCGGAGCAGAAGGAACTAACAAAATTTCGTTACCAGACTCAAAACATCAAATGTTTGAATTCCAAACTATCAAAACTCTCAACTTTACGATCCTGTTTAAATCAATTCCCAAAATATTATCAAACATGATTTGGCCAACTAAAAGGGGGATATGATAAGTTTCCAAAAAAATTCAAAAAAGACCTTTGAATCATTACTTGTGAATTAAAACTAAAAATATGAATCAAGCAACTAATAACTGAATTGAATGTTGTCTAACTAAATATCTATATCAAAACTATTTATGATTGGTGGCCTTATACCATAAATCATACTTAGATAAAAATACTATTGAGTTTTACTAAATTGGAAAGTTTTTTATAATCAACATTCACCACGTGAGTTCACCATGTCGAACCTCTGAGATAATTTGAAGATGAGATTTATACCTTATCAGGGTATTGAACTTGATAAACTAGGGATCAAAATTGCAACGCCCCAAATTTTGAAACTATGACCTTTGTCATTCTTTAAATGCATATAGACTCTAAATCCTATAATTTTTAATGTTGGATCGGTATTTAAAATATTTTCTTTCTTTGGGAAGATCTTTCGATGTGAACTAAGATCATAAGGTATTCCTTGAGTATTAAGATTTTGTGGCCTAATACAACTAAAATTAAAGGTCGTGAAGTCTTTGTTCCAACAGCTTCGACCATCTAAGTTATATTCTAAAAGTAATGCTCATTTATTAAGCACCACAGATTTTGTGTGATCCGCCGCGTGAAATACAAATCAGTCATCCGGCCACATCGAAAAATTAATGTAACTCAAAAAGCCTCACAATGTAGGCTCAAGCTGCACCATTGCACACATGCTCTGAAATTGTTTAAGTCTTCTCTTTCTTTCATATTTTAGAAGGGGTGTTTTAGTCCTTTCCTCAAACCATAACCCTAATCCATGACTATCAAGTTCTTCCGAAAGTAATATTCTAGGAGATTTTATAAGTTACGAAAAATGCTTCTCCTCCTCTTCCACAACACTTCAAGAAGCAATATCTAAGGTTAATTCTCAAGGTCTCGTTCTTCAGTTCTTCATCAAAAGGTGTGTTTAAACACTCCTAACTTCAAACTACTTATACAAGATTCATATTATATTTTATTATTCCTTTTTTCTATATAATGAACAAGGTAAGGGTTGAAAGATGATTTCATGAAAATTGATTACAAATGCTCCTATGTTGTTAATTATGACAAATTACTTTAATATGATTTCAGAATTAGATTGTTGGTTTTGAATTACTAAATTTCGTCATATGATTTGAAAAGGGTTTTGCCTATAATAATGGATTTGAGAATTTTTTTAGTCTTTCAAAAGCTTTGGTTTAAATAATGAACAAAGGCTAATTTTCCATCGTGGTTAAATGTTAATGATTTTACATTTTATATGTAGTTTTATAACTTGGAAAGACTTGGGTGTTGGCATTGAATGGAAATTTTAACATAAATTAGTCTCTGGTTTTTAAAGGACGGGTTAAGAGTTTTAAATGGCTAACTATGAAAATGACATGGTTCCAATGGCTTGCAAGTCTTGGTATGACGATATGAATGGGAATATGCCTTATTCGGATAACTCTTAATAAACAGAAACTTGTAAAAGTTTTAATTGGAGGCTTAAAGAGAGTTTTGTAGTTATCACCGAGAAGGTGTAAACTCCTTGTGACTCATCATCCGAAAGCGCAGGCGCGGATCTAGGAAGGCCTAAGGGGTATCCTGGGACACAACTTTGTCAGAAAATTTTGTTATATATAGTGAAAACATTTTGAGGTTGTTCTCAAGGGAAAGGCTCCGACATTGTGATTTAGAGCACACGAGATCGAGCTAAAGGTAGACTACGAATTCCATTCTCTTAGATTGAGGTTGAATGTGTAATTACATGTTGATTTGATGGAATTGAGGGCGTGTACCTAGTCTTTCTTATTTACTTTTATTGATATCATGTATTAGGACTTGAGTAGCTCTATTTTAGGTGTAGCACCACACTAGTCGGGGATTATGTGTTTAGTTTTATTTTAGTGAGTTGACTTGAATGTTGTTTTTACGGTATAATTAAGTATGTTTGGCTTTATTCTAGGACTAGACTAGTTTTTGCCTTAGACTAGCGATACTTGCAATATTTAGGACTTTTACTTCTCCAACATCGTTTTAGACAGTTTAACTCATTATAAACTGAAGTTGCAAACTTAAGTCAAATAGAATGAGCCTTATTTTAAGCGTTGATTCAGTTTTTCAAATTTTCTATTAACTCTTCTTTACGGCCCATTGCGATAGAGGTTTTATACTTTGTTGGGTGACTCAAGATTAGAGTCGTGCACGACGAGAGCCTTTTATCAATTTCTTGGGTTAAATGTTGTTCCACTGTAGTTTGGGTTATGTATGATACATGATACTTTGATGTTCTTATTGGTTCCCACATGTTTACTCTTGCTAACTGGGCTAGTGCCCTTTGGATCTTACTATCTGCTAGGCGATGGTCTTATTGGTAACTTGAGTTTAGTCTTGCTAGCTAGGTCAGCGCCCCTATGGTTTTATTATCTTTTTGGGTTATACTCTTATCGGTGCCTCCAAATTACTCTTCTTAGTTGGGCTGATGCCCGTGGGAGTTTATTTTCTAGTTAGTTTCACAGCACGTGCGTTGCACGTATGTATTTTATCTATAGTATACAATGTTATAAAATACAGTAAAAATTACCAAGTTAAAGTTTTTTAGTAAGTAATTATTATTGAATATATTGTCAAAGAGTTACTTACATTTTTTATATCAAAATGACCAGATATCATTAAAATATTTTAAAATAAATTTAAAGTTTAAATATTGGAGAAAGTGACATTTCTTTAGTAGTATTAATTCTTAATTCACTGAATTTTGTAAACAAATCTAATCCACAAAATAATAAAAAAATAACCCATTTAAAAAATGTGGCCAATAGTCTTTCCTCTTGAGGTTATGAACATACATGATGTAGATCATTTAAGTACAAATTTTGTCTTAAATATGCATACTTGAAATCCAATATGTGCATGACACTAATAAGGATTACCAATATATTTCAATATTTTATCCTAATATGTAATAGATCTTTTACAAAATATTTCTCCCTATTGATTCAACTTATATGACTTACTTTCCTTTTTAGTCCGTCCCAAAAAGAATGACATACTTCTATATTAAGTAATTATTTAACTATAAAATGTCTATTTTACCCTTAATGAAATTATTTACAGCCACTCAAATTTCTATCATTCATTTTGGACCACAAGTTTAAAAAGTCTTCCTTTCTTTCTTAAACTCTTTGTCGAGTCAAACTACCTTATATAAAATGGGAAGTAGGGAGTATTACTCAATTAATTTTTGAGTACGACTATCATAGAGAGGTAATTTTATCCAACAACGTGTACTTTGTTATTAATGATGGTTAAATAGAAGTTTTTGTAAGTCGATAATTGAAAATTATTGCAGGATCTCAGCTTGAGGTAAATTCGAGTTATTGTAGGTTGTCATGACTTGTTTTTGTGTTGTAAATTTTGAATTGTTGTATGTTGGCTCTCTTGACTACTCCCTATTGTGTTCCATTGTGGAACACACATGATTCCCATTTGATTCAAAATTTCCTATTTTCATTCATATGTATTTGGTGTTGAAATGACTGTATTGGCATTGTGATCCTATTTTTGGTAGTGTGACAACACTGAAGTCGTTCACAAGTGAAAGGCTCTGACATTGTGATTTTAGAGAACCCGAGATCAGCCTAAAGGTTGATTATGACTTCCCTTCTCTTAGGTTGAGGTTGAATGTGCAATTACATGTTGATTAGAGTTTATTGGGGGCCGGTAGCTACTTTTTCTTATTTCCTTTTCTTTATACCATGTTATAGGACTTGATTGTCTCTATTTTGGGCGTAGTACCATGCTAGTATGGGATTTTGTGGTTAGTTCTATTTTGTGAGTTGACTTGGATGTTGTTATTATTGTATAATTAAGCATGATTGGCCTTAATTTATGAATTGACTAGTTTTTGCCTTAGACATGCAATACTTGTTGTCTATAGGACTTATTTGTTCTCCGACGTTAGCTTAAATGAAGTTTTGATTTGTGGCCACTTTTTGTCGATATGATCTCGCATGAAAATTTTTATCGTACCATTAAGTCAAAATATCAAATTTTGTAGAGTAGCATATCTCATTTGTATATACGAGATTCTGAACGAATTTGAAATACCCTTTTATAGTTTTTCAAGTTGCCAAACTAGCTGACATGCATGTGTTGGTGCAAGCCAATTTTGGTTTCCACTTGATAAAGTTGTGGGCCGTGTTTGAAGAGACCGCGAGATTTGGTCACCGCCTTTGCAGGGTCCAGGCCACATTTGAAAAGGGTTAGGCTCTGGCCTTCGCTTTCGCAAGAACCCAACCGCATTCGAAGTCCCTTAGCTTCTTTTGCCTTCGCGTTCAAAGGACTCTTTCCACATTTCCAAAGGTTAAAATTCTTGGTCTTTGCATTTGTGACACCTCTAAGTTGCATTAGAAAAGAGCAAAACGCAAGGCACCTTTAAGTACCAACATCCATCAGCAATTATACTATCAATTTGACTCCATTTTCGGTGGTTTTAAGTCTTATAATCATGAACTGTTGGGGATATGTGTGTGGATGGTTGGAACTATTGTAGGGTCTCCATTCGAGGTAAATTCGAGTTATTGTTGGCTAACATGACTTATTTTTTGCTCTAAATTTTGAGTTTCTGTATTTTGGTTGTCTTGCTGCTCTGATCCTCGAATTGTGTTCCATTTTGGAACACAAATTCAACGTAATATTTTAGGCATTGTGACAAAGTCAAACAGGGAATTCGGATTCAGGTCCCATGATTCCCATTTGATTCAAAAGTTGGCCCATTTTCATTTATGTTTCTTTGGTGTTTAACTAACCATATTGATGTTGTGATCTTATTTTTTAATAGCATGAGAACATTCTGAGGTCGTTCCCAAGGGAAAGGCTCTGACATTGTGATTTAGAACACACAAGACCGACCTAAAGGTAGACTATAAATTCCATTCTCTTTAATTGAGGTTGAATGTGTAATTACATGTTGATTAGAGGGAATTGGGGGCGTATACCTAGTCTTTCTTATTTACTTTTCTTGATAGCATGTTTTAGGACTTGAGTAGCTCTATTTTAGGTGTAGCACCACACTAGTCGGGGTTTGTGTGTTTAGCTTCTATTTTAGTGAGTTGACTTGGATGTTATTATGGTATAATTAAGTATGCTTGGCCTTATTCTAGGACTAGACTAGTTTTTGCCTTAGACCAGCGATACTTGCAATATTTAGGACTTTTACTTCTCCAACATCGTTTTAGACAGTTTAACTCATTATAAACTGAAGTTGCAAACTTAAGTCTAATAAAATGAGCCTTATTTTAAGCGTTGATTCAGTTTTTCAAATTTTCTATTCACTCTTCCTATTTTTACGGCCCATTGCGATAGTAGAGGTTTTATGCTTTGTTGGGTGACTCAAGATTGGAGTCATGCACGACGAGAGCCTTTTATTAATTCCTTGGGTTAAATGTTGTTCCACTGTAGTTTGGGTTATAGATGATACATGATACTTCGATGTTCTTATTGGTTCCCACATCTTTACTCTTGGTAAGTAAGCTAGTGCCCTTAGGAGCATACTATATTCTAGGCGATGGTCTTTTTGGTACACTGAGTTTAGTATTGTAAGCTAGGTGAGAGCCCTTGTGATTTTATTATCTTGTTGGGTGATGCACTTATCGGTGCCTCCAAGTTACTCTTCATTAATGGGCTGATGCTCGTGGGAGTATATTTTCTGGTTAGCCAGCCCTAGGGTTTACTTTTTCTAGTTGGGCTGGTGCCCCTGCAGTAACCCATTATTGTGTACTTGTAGTTTGAGGTGGTTACTTGGGGATTGATGTACGGATTACATTTAATGGATCTAGAATCACTTTAATTCGCTCTTATAGTTTAGTTGTATTTAGTCTTTATTTCTTGTGCCCTTATGGATTTTTCTTTAAATATCACTTTGACCTTTATTGGTGTCTAGATTCTATCTTTTCATGTTTTTCTACCATCTTTGCTCAATTAAACTATGATGCCTACTGGTACTTTTACTTTGGTACTTATACTACACTATGCATGTATTTCGTACCTACAACAATTTTGGGATCAGAGATTAAAGTGAGCACTTCGTGTCTGGACTTGCCTTTATATTTAATATTTTTGAAAATTTTCCATTCTTTTGGGAAAAAAATATAGTATTTTTCTATTTTTAAATCTATATATAATTATACTTTCTAAAATTGGTAATTCTAATGCACTTCTGCCTCAAAAAAAATGGTTTCTTCACTAACTTTAAATTTCCGACACGAAGTTCAAATTTCCACTTTTATTTGTTAATCTCTAACTAGTTATTAACCCATAGGACAAAGATTTCTTTATAAATGATATCCGCGAATCAAGAAAGTTCACGAGAAACTGTTTCATTTCATAGAAGTTCATTCTTAGTCTTACGAAGCAAATTGATATGTGGTAAATAAGGACTAAAAATGAATGTTGGAAAGTTAAAATTACTTGTCGCCGGGGATAAGCAGTGTTGCAACGTCCTGCTCCTGTAACAGCGCTGGAGTGGCGTCGGGGTCGATCAAGGGCATGGGTGTGCACTGGTTAGGGAGGTAGGGTTGAGAGAAAAGGGAAATTAATCATCATTTCTTTTCTAAAACAAGTGATAATTTACCAACCACGGGATGTCAATATCTTTTAATATAATTATCTACATTTACAAATATTTAATAAATCCCGATGTTAATAATATTAAATATACTAGCCTCTTGAGGTCGGTGTTAATTAATTTAAATCTAATCGACTTCATGATATCAGTATTTATTAAATATTTGTAAATATAGATAATTATATTAAAAGATATTGACATCCTGTGGTCGGTAAATTATCACTTGTTTTAAAATAGAAATGATGATTAATTTCCCTTTTCTCTCAACCCTACCTCCCGCACCAGCGCACACCCATGCCCTTGATCGACCGCGGCGCCACGCCAGTGTTGCAGCAGCAGAAGGACGTTGCAACATTGTTGGTCACCGGCAACAGGTAATTTGAACTTCCAAAAATTTATTTAAGTCTTTATTTATCACATATCTATTTGTTTTGTAAAAATAAGAATGAATTTCTATGAAATGAAAGAGTTTCACGGAAATTGTCTTTATCCTCGGATATCATTTAGAAAGAAATCTTTGTCCTATAGGAATGATAACTAGTTAGAGATTAATAAATAAAGGAGTAAATCTGAAGTTAGTGTCGGAAATTTAAAGTTAGTGAAGAGACCATTTCTTTTGAGGTTGAAGTAAATTAGAATTACAACTTTTAGCAAGTATAACTATATATTGATTTAAAAATAGAAAAATACAATATTTTATTTTCCAAAAGAATGGAAATTTTTAAAAATATTAAATATAAAGGCAAGTCCAGACACGAACTACTCACTTTAACCTCTGATCCAAAAGTTGTTGTAGGCACGAAATCATGCATATGTAGTATAAGTACCAAAGAAAAAGTATCCAGTAGGCATCATAGTTTAATTGAGTAAGTATCAATGGTAGAAAAAAATGAAAAGATGGAATCTAGACACCAATAAAGGTCAAAGTAGAATTTAAAGAAAAACACACACAAGGGTACAAGAAATAAAAACTAAATATAGCTAAATTAAACCTAATTGGGACCCATAAGCCCAAAAGGTACACTCGTACGCAGGTTTAAGTAAAATTTTAATGAACCTCCATAAATTTGACATGTACACAAAATAGCTAAACTACAAGAGCGAAGTAAAGTGAATCTAGATCCATTAGATGTAATCCGGAAATCAATCCCCAAGTAAACACCTCAAGCCATAAGTACTCAATAATGGGTTCGCCCCATCTAAACAATAAACTCCCAGGGCACCAGCCCAACTAGAAAAAATAAACCCTAGGTTTGGCTAACTAGAAAATACACTCCCACGGGCATCAGTCCAGCTAGAAGCGTAACTCGAAGGCCCCGATAAGAGCATCTCCCAACAAGATAATAGTTTCACAGGGGCTATGAACTAGCTAGCAAGACTAATCTCAGGGTACCAATAAGACCATCGCCTAGCAGATAGTAAGCTCCCAAGGGCACTAGCCTAATAAGAAAGAGTAAACATGTGGGAACCAATAAGAACATCGAAGTATCATGTATCACCTATAACCCAAACTACAGTGGAACAACATTTAACTCGAGGAATCGATAAAAGACTCTCGGCTTGCACGACTCCAATCTTGAGTCACCTAACAAAGCATAAAACCTCAAGTATGGCAATGGGTCATAGAAATAGGAAGAGTTAATAGAAACTTTGAAAAACTGAATCAACGCCTAAACTAAGGCTCATTTTATTAGACTTAAGTCCGCTGCTTCAGTTTATAATGAGTTAAACCGTTTAAAATGACGCCGGAGGAGTAAAAGTCCTAAATACCACAAATATTGCTAGTCTAAGGCAAAATCTAGTCTAGTCACGGAATTAGGCCAAGCATACTTAATTATACCATAATAACAAAATCCAAGTCAATTCACTAAAATAGAACTAAATAAATAATCCCTGACAAGCACGATACTAAACCTAAAATAGAGCTAGTCAAGCCCTAAAACATGCTATCAAGAAAAGTAAATAAGAAAAACTAGTTACGCGCCCCCAATTCCCTTTAATCAACATGTAATTAAACATTCAACTTCAATCTAAGAGAATGGAATTCGTAGTCTACCTTTAGGTTGATCTTGCACACTCTAAATCACAATGTCGGAGCCTTTCCCTTGGGAACAGCCTCAGAATGTTCTCACGCTATAAAAAATAAGATCACAACATCAATACGGTTATTTAAACACCAAAGACACATGAATAAAAATGGGCCAACTTTTGAATCAAATGGGAATCATGGGACTCGAATCCGAATTTACTATTTGACTTTGTCAAAATGTCTAAAATATTACCTTGAATTTGTGTTCCAAAATGGAATACAATTCGAGGCTTAGAGAAGCAAGACAACCAACATACAACAATTCAAAATTTAGAGCACAAAAACAAGTCATGGCAGCATACAATAACTCGAATTTACCTCGAATAGAGAGCCTTCAATAGTTCCAACCATCCACATACATATCCCCAATAGTTCATGATTACAAAACTTCAAACCACAGAAAATGGAGTCAAATTGATAGTACAATTGTTGATGGAAGTTGGTACTTAAAGGTGCCTTGAGTTTTGCTCTTTTCTAATGCAACTTAGAGGTGCCGCAAATGCAAAAGAACGAGAAGTTTAACCTTTACAAATGTGGAAAGAGTCCTTTGAATGCGAAGGCAAGAGAAGTTAAGGTCCTGCGAATGAGGTCCAGTCCCTCCGAAAGCGAAGGCCAAAACCTAACCCTTTTCAAACGTGGCCTGGACCCCGCAAAGTTTGTGACCAAATCTCATGGTCTATGCAAACACAAACCACAACTTGAGAAACTGAAGACTTGGCTTGCACCAATGGATGCATGTCAGCCATTTTTGGCAACTTTAAAAACTCTGACAGGCATTTCAAATTCGTTCAGAATCTCGTATATACAAACGAGATATGCTACCCTACCAAATTTGATATTTTGTACTTGATGGTAAAATAATGTGAGATCATATCGACAAAAAGTGGCCCCAAATCAAAACGCCATTTAAGCCAACATCTACATTGGGACTCAAAATTAGCCCGAGATCCTCGAGATTCACATAAAGGGTCGTTCAAGAGAAAATTTGATATTCTAGATCTAACCAAACTAATGGAGTTCTCATCCGAGCACATTTACGAAGAATGTTGACCAATGTCAAATTTTAGGCCTTAACTTATAAGTTAAAACGCCTAATTGTACAAACTCGCATCAGAAGCCTTGTTAGCCGTGCCAAACATGTTACTGGCCTAAAATCACCCTTTTGGAGTAAATGAAATTGTCAGAATTGGATTATGAGGTCATCTTTCTGACTTTTTGATCGAAAATGATTATTCAAGTTTCAAAAGCTCCTGAACATAGAAATTCACATAAGAACCAAACACAATACTAACTAGGTGACTGACCTGATAGTCTTTACATGTCATAAATGACTTGAGGTCACCATAAAAATGCAATGATGAATAAAAGAAACAAGAACAAAAATTACCTAGAGAACCATTGCAATACTAATATTGACTCATTATAAAAGGAATAAAAAATTAAATATTTTCCTGGACAATGCAACGGAAAGTTGTGCTACTTGAATGGTGGAAAAGATAGTTTCAATTATGACCTGATGAAAAGTTTTGCTTCTTGTTTTTAGATAATATTAATTTTTCTTTCTTTGTTATTTTCTACTTTAATATTTCTTCTATTTTTAGTTGCTCTTAACCCTTAATACATAAGATTTATAAAAATGTGATAATGAAAAATTAATGTCAATAGTCGTTATGTGAAAAGTGAAAAGGATCATGGTTTCATAAACACATTGATTCGATAAGAAATATTTAATTGTTTTTTCTTTCATTGATTAATATAGTTTGTGTTTGATAGCATGTGATTATATTGTCAGCTAGTAAAAGAAATAAAATGAATCCTAGGAGAATTGTGTGTTCTCAATTGATTATTTTTTTCAGTGATATCAGAGCTTATGATTTACTTATTTCCTAGTCACGGCTTTCTTCCTCAAAAATCAATATTGCGGGAGACATAGTTATTACTTTTTGATTTATACGAAACAACATAATAAATTAAATTGTTGTTGAAGCATGATTTATTTGGCTTTGAATTTTTTCCAATATGTGTAGTTTACTGAATTAAGAGAAAATTAGTTTTTTAGTTATTTAGTCTAGTGATTCAAGTAATTAATGGATCTATTTAAAAATAAAAAAACAAATGAGACCTTTAAAAGATGTTATTGTTTGAAGAAGTACAGTAATTGAGGTGAACTCCTGATGATTAGACTAGAAAAGGAAGAAGAAAAAGTAAAAGAAGAAGAAGATGATCTTGAGAATCGGAGTATTCTATATTCATTAGAATTGAATCCATTGTTTAAATGAGCTAATCAGCACAACTTATATAGGTGTTTGGACCACTATAATCCTAACTAACTATTAACTAATTTAACAAACTCCTAACCGATAAGTTAATCCTATAGTTATATCTAATTACACATAGACGCTTTAGGACTTTAAGTAACTCCTCCTTCAATACTCCCCCTCAAGTTAGGTACTTTAAACCCTCAAGTTAGGAATCTAGTTAGTTTAAATATTTCCTTGAATAACCTTTTTCCAATGAAAAATGACAATCTATGTTTAGTCCTTTAATGGTACACTGGATTTGCAACTATTTGCATTGCAACCTTGATATTACTAGACACCTTGACGGGAAGAGTAACACACCAAGTTCCTTTACTAGCCCAACTATCCAAACTATCTCTGCCACAGTAGAACCTAAGCTTCTGTATTCTGCTTCAGCTGAGCTCTTGGAGAATGTTGTTTGTTTCTTCGACTTCCAAATGATGAGAGAATCTCCCATTTTTATTGCATGACAGTAGGTTGTTATCGCATTGTTCTTATTAATGAATAGTAAGACCCCTTGGCCTGGTTGATTCTGAACGCAAAATGAGCTATCATGTAAGATTTAGAAGTTGTGGAAATATATTTTTCATAAGGAGAAGATGGAAGCACATTTTGATGAGCGCGAGAAGGACTGTCTATTGATTAATGAAAAGAGTCCTTTCTTTACTATAATGATTGAAGAAGCTTTCTTAGAAGTTCTGGTAAAGTGTGGTTCTTTGTGTATGCTTGTTTCTTCAACTTAGTTTAAACAATCTATTTGTTTCTGTGAAATTTTGAGCAACCCTATATGTTTTATTAACGGAAAGAAAATATTTTTATAAGTTTCAAGTTTTTCAGCTTGTTTAGAGTCACCACTTAATTTTTGAGAAAAATCAAGAAAATTTTAGTTTTCAAAAGATTTAAACAGAAAATCGATTGAAAACCTTAAAGGGGTTCGGAAAATCTTATTTATATTTTAGGAAGGTTTATACGGCACCTAAAATATTCACTAACTCGCAATTATCCGACAACTAACTTATTTGGCTACCAATTTAGCTTTATCTGAATTAAGAAATTTAATTGGAATTTGCTAAAAGGAAATATTAGCCTACGATCTAAGTGAGCTCTTTTTTAACTCGTAAAATTTATTTATTATTATTTAAATCCATTTAATTATTATCAATTTAGTTGAATCGTTTAAAACAAAGTAACGTCTTGCGGAGAATTCAAGTTTTTAACCCTAAGATCAACTACAAAAATAACAAAACATATAAGCAATAAAGTATAAGAGGGAGACAGAGCGAGTTGGGTCCAAATTCGGTTTTTGTCCGCCTTGACAGATATTTGGACCCATTTTCACTTTTGAGCCTTAGGCCCATCGTACCTGTCCTAAGAACTAGCAAAATAATAATAAGTGAACTTTAAAATGCTTAGGCCTAAAAATAACAAAATACAACACTTTCAAAAATAAAAATTTTGGACCCATACCTTCAATTTGTTCGACCCCTTTCGATCCTTTAATCCTCAAGACTTGTACGTCATTTTATGGCTTGACTCGATAGAAAATATATAACTGAGCCTACAAGGCTCATCCCAACGAAATGCGGGAAGAAGGAACCTTCAAAGACTCGGAGAAGGTAGTGCATACATACTTTAAAATTTCAAATGGACTTAGTCTAGCTTTACAAGACAAGATAAGGTTAAATGAAGGTGACATCAAATAACAAAAATAAGCTAGGGAGGAGGGGGCAGTGATCACATAGGATAAAAGGCATACATATTTGTTGATCGACAATAATGAACAATTAACAATTTAGACAAAAACGAGCTATTGGAATGTGGACTTTGAATAACTCAAACATGCAAGTTGTGGCTATGGGCTTAAAATCATGCTACCGTTTTGTTAAAATATAAGACAACCAAATGATATAACTATAACTATTATTGTTATTATTTTAAAACAGAACTTAACTACGAAGAGGCTTAGCAACAGAGGTATGTCCTATCAGGGTGTGCTAAGATGCAAAGAAAATCCAAACTAAACATCCTGAGGAAGTTAAAATTTAAGTCAAAGGGTGGTCTAGAAACACAAAGAGACGTTAAAAGGACAGATTGGTGGTATCTAGAAACTAAACACAGTAGCAACAGTCATCACTTTAACGTATTGGATATGAGCATATGCAGAACAAGTATTTTTATGGCATAAAAAATGACAAATGATTCTTAACAGCTTGAGAGGATATTACTGTAAATGCAATGCAACTCTTATCATGTCAAAAAAAAAACTTAACATATCTTTAAAGCATATATATGTATATACAGACAAGGAAATGCGACTAACGCAATTTTAGAATCACTTACCTTAGAGATAGACTGCACAGACCATCAATAAACTATGGGAGCATGTTAAAAGAAAGAAAGAATAAACAAGATCACTAGATTCAACCTCAAGTTCTTTGATAATGAAGACAACGAGTATAATCAAACCTTTTCAACTAACCAGAGAAGTATCTAACATATAAAATAGGAAGAGGTGCGTAAAAATCAGAACATGGGTCTTATATCAAAAAAAAAAATTTAATCATAAGAAAACTCTAATATTTGACACGAATCTATCTATATACTGATATATAAGGAGAAGTCAATTAAGGCAAGCTTGAAAAGATGAAAACAACAATGTAGTAATGTTTTTTTATACACTCAGAATACTTAATGTAACATGATCATGAATACCAATAAAGAAGATCAAATAATGACGAAACAATAAGGACTTGAGACGAGCATAACAAACCGTGAATTCCATGAAGACACAAGCAACAATATAGGCTCCAGATGAGCATTAAGCCATCTCAAAAATGAAAATAAACAACAATAATGGTTCATTAAACAAATTCTACTGTTAATTTGCAGCACACGATGAGTCAGAAGATATAAGCCCCACCCCCACCCCTCATTTTATCATGTAAACAGCTTCATTCTTTCAAGAACAACACATTAAGGGCCAGGGATGCTTGAGGAGAAATGAATATTACCTTTAGAGGGGCAGCATATTGTGACAGCAACGAGTAAGGAAATAGCGAACTTCAACACCCATTGGATAATTTCGTGAACGTCAAACTCCGACACGAACAACGAACCAAGATGTCTGAATCGACTTTGAATCCCAGAACCCTTTAAGAACATCAAACTAAAAGACTATTTTTGATTTTCCTGGATAATGAACTTTAAACAATTCTTTCACTGTCCCGCTACTCTTTCACTATTTTCTCAGCTTTCTGCCTCAAAAAGTTCGACTGAAGTCTACAAAAAAAAAATCCCCTCCCCTTTCAGTGAACAAGGAAAAGACGTTATATAGGGGGGGGGGGGGGGGACGGATAAAAATCGGGTGAAAGGGGGCCCAATTCCAATTCCCAAAACCATTCACCAAAAAGGATGAACAACTTTCTCTGAAATTTGAAACCTTCCGAAACGGGAAAGGAGAATGGACGATTGGGATCGATTGAGCGTCCTTGATGAGCGACGTGGCTTCATCTCACAGTCTGAAGGACGATTCCTGTGTGCCACTTCTGCTACTGTGACTGCGAGGACGAAAGCGACACGGGAGGAAGAAGACAAAGAGCATACTGGGCGTTGCTGTATGCGTTTTTCAACTGCTGCTTTCCCTGTATTGCACCGTCTATCGCCGTGAAAGTAGGAGGCGTCCATTACAGCCGGGACTGTTGTGGTTCTGGGTTTCCCCTTTTGACGCCGCTTAATCGCGTCTGGGAACTTCACGTGGTTTCTGGCTGGGTCGGGTCTGGGGATTAACTGGGAGTGGGCTGGAAGAATTATTTCTGCGTTGGGCCGGCAAAAAATTGGAGGAGAGACCCAAATTTAGTCCCAAGGTTTGGAAGAAAGTGGGATGGGAAAGTTTAAGAGAATTGGTCGATTTAGTATTTAAAAAAAAAAAAGAATGGCCCAAATTTTGGTTTAAGCTGAGATAAGTTAAACTGAAATCAGGAAATAACTTGAGCGATTATGAATTCGGGCAAGCTACTTAAACTTGGTCAAAATTGGATGAAAATTCGTGAGTTCGGCAAAAATTTAAATAAGACAAATTAACATTAATTAATTAACGAGCTTCTTAATTTAAACGAAATAAAATATTAACTTAATTATAAACTAAATAAATTGAAATATAAGCTCTTATATTAGTGGACTAATTAACCAAATATTTAACAAAATCTTTTGAGACGGTTTTGTAATGTTCACAAACTATACTAATTATGTACCAAATTATATAAAACATATATATATTATTCTAAAACTATAAAAGAGCGACAAAACTATTTAAAAATAACTTTAAAAAATATTCTAATTTAATAAAATTAGCTATTCTAAATCATTTAAAATTAAGGAACTCGGTAATTAATTACCATCGGGGAGGGTCAAAGTTGGGTGTCAACGACTCCCTCATTTTACTTGGATTGTTGCAAGATATTCGAGGAAAATAAAATTGACCAAACCAATTTTGATTAACCCCATATTCTATTGTTCATCTTGTATTCCTAACATACTTAGAACAAAACTTTGTAAGAAAACAAAGTTTAAGAATATTTTCACAACTAGAAAATTAAAACTAGTAGCGAAACTAGAATCAGAAACAGAATAGAAAAATATACAAAATATTTTTCTTAAAGAAGAATTGTTGTTAATATGTGTCTAAAGAATCTTACTGATCCAATAAACTTTGCAGAAACACGAAGTTACCAAAGTTTAATGAACCAGTGAAGAACAAAAGAATAGAAGAACTGAAATTAATTAACAAATATAAAATTTGTAACACATAGCAAAATTTGGAAAAACATAAAGAAGATCCAACCCACTAAATGCACAGTGTCCCCTTAAGAAAATTATTCCCCTCGAGTATCCGAGTTTTGATTTGGAATATGTCCTCCAAGGTAGAATGATCTCAATCACCAGTGTATTAATACCCAAAACGTTGTTGTCAGCGAGTCACTCAACGGCAGCAACGTACACTTAGAATACTAGATTTAGTAGTAGTAGAAGAAGTCCAGAAAATTCTATATTCTATATATTTATAAAATGTGAAAAAATCCCTCAATGTATAGAACAAAGGGTAGTGCAAAAAAGTTCTTATTACTAAAAAGGTCACAAACTTTTGAAAAAATTACAATCTTTGAAAAAGGTTGTCACCTTTCATAAAAGTCACAACATCCCATAAAAGTCACAACTTTTCATAAAAGTCGCACTTTTCATAAAAGTCACAACTTTCATAGAAGTCGCAAACTTTCATAAAAGTCACAACTTTTCATAAAAGTCGCAACTCTTCATTTTCCATACACACCTTTTAAAATCCAACAACCCCCCGCATGAATAAGGAATGAATCCAAGACAAAGAAACGGACAAGTATGTGTACTGTACAAGCAAGATTTAATTGCATCTGGATAAGTATGTTTCCCCTTGTACTTTCCGTAGTAAATATATGTCGGATATATTAGCTCAATCGGTAGATGTTATATCTTTGAATTGTTGAGCTTTGATGTATTCCTAGACAAGCATATGTTACACAATTAACCCTTTACCATTTATGGTTCTTATGGTTGTGTTCGTTTTAGCCATGAACACCTCCTTGTTTCATGAGTGTATGGATAGAAGGTCTTTTGACAATAATCTTCTCTGAAACGGCTTACACTTCACACTCACGTTTGTGATTCGCAACAGTGTTATCGCGTAGATACACTATTTGGTCAATTATGCCAAACTAAGCAAATCATTAAAATCATTAAGCTTTATTAACTCATTAACTAGCCTTAATGTTGTATCCTTGTCTCTGAGCATTGTCCTCATCATAAGAATGGATTGAGTTTGTTGACAATGCATAACCGTCATTAATAACTTTGTTTTTCTCCTTGAATCTAACTCTTGAGATCTCCAATCTGCTAGATATAGTTACCGATATGATGACTTGTCCTAAGCTGTAAATTCATTCTCTTAGATGATCTTTCAAATTTTTCTCTAGCTAGGCCTTTTTGTAAGTGGTTCTGACACATTATCCTTTGACTTTACATAGTCAATTCTGATAATTCCACTAGAGAGTAGTTTTCTAACGGTATCATGTCTATGTCACATATGACGAGACTTTCCGTTATACTTCATGCTCCATGCCTTACCTATTGAATTTTGACAGTCAAAGTGTATGAATAATAATGTTAATGGTTTGGGCCAAAATAGAAAATCTATCAAGAAATTTTGAAGTCTTTCAACTTATTCACCGACCTTATCTACAACATCTAGCTCAGAGATCATTGTAGAGATAGCGATACATGTCTCTTTTGGAATATTTCTAAAAGAGTGCTCCTCTACCAAGAGTAAATACATATCAACTAGTGAATTTTACTTTACTTGTCCGATGATCAAATTTGCATCACTATATCCTTTCAATACTGTTGGATATTGTTATAATGCAAGACATAGTATTAAGTATTATTTTAAATACTCCAAAACTCTATTTATTACCATCTAATGAATTTATTTAGGATCACTTGTGAACCGACTCATTGTAAAATAGCATATGATATATATAATCGCACACACTACATGATATACATCATACTTCCTAAAACTCTAGCACAATCCAATTGTGATACACTTTGCTTTCACTCTTTTTAAATGCAACGCTCACATTTATTGGAGACTTGACGTTATTTACCTCCAAATATTTGAACTAATCAAGTACCTTTTCAATGCAATGAGACCGTGAAAATGCTAAACATTATGTAGTTCTATGAATTCTTATATCTAAAATCGCATTAGCAACTCCAATATTTTTCATTCCAAACGTGCTTTATAGTCATTAGTGTCTCTATTGATGATCAACATATCACCAATATACAAACAAACAATGACATTATGATTTTAATGTGAACACATTTATCACTTCCATCATTCTTAAATCCATTTGCCAATATGGTTTGGTCAGATTATGTCATTGTTTGGGAGCTTGTTTTAGTCCATACTGTGACTTAACAAGTTGACACACTTTCTTTTATTTACCAGGAACCACAAAACCCTCTGGTTGGTCCATGTGAGTTTCTTCCTCCAATTCACATTCAAGAAAGTTGTTTTCACATTAATTTGATGAATTTAGAGGTCATATACCACAACTAATAATTTTAGCATCCGAATGGATGAAATTTTAGTTATTAATGAGTATATATATCGACAAGATCAAAACACTATATTTGTCTAAAGCCTTTGACACAAAGTTTTGCTTTATATCTGTGAACAATTCTGTCAACTTTATTTTCCTTCTAAAGATTCACTTTGAACCCAAAAGTTTATTTTCTGAAAGAAGATCAACTAACTTCCAATTAATATGGTTGCTCAAGATTGCATCAATCTCACTATTGACACCATCTTTCAAAATGATAAGTCTACAAAAGCACAAGAAAATGTTACAAAACCATATTCAAAGGAAGTAAATGTCATTTGACATTTACTACGCCTCTGAATCTCTTTATTAAGTAATTTCTCCTTTTTCCTTTTCTAGGCCTTTTAGACCCTTCTCTAGACTACTCAAATCTAATTTTATAGTCCACAATCATAGGTCCTATTTTAATTCTTTAAAGAATAGGAACTTGGACTTTGTCTAGACACCCACACTTTGAAATATTTCAAGTTGGATTTTCTTCCTTCCCATTTCTCATATGGAAAAGATTGTATCCTGAACAAACAAAATTACTTTCTCTAAAAAGACAACTTTTTATTGTTTCTGTTTGCATTAAGGATAGTTCCTCCACATAATTTTTGTGGTAAACTCGAACTTATATATAATACATCCATCATTTCTTTCAAAGTTCGCTTTTTCATTAGATTGAGGTGAATAGGTTAGTAGTTTGACAGATAATTTCACTTTTCAAACATATGTCTGCACAAGGAGATCTATACTCTCCATTCTTATCGCTTCTTATTTTTTTCCACACTGATTTTCAACTTCATTATTTCATTGTCTAGACATTTCTATTGCTTCATCCTTACCATTCCACAAATAGATATTTTCTAATGCAATTGTCAATAAAAGTAACGAGATATTTTTTCCCACCATGAGATGGTGTTAACTTCACGTCACAAATGTCAGTGTAAATCAATTCTAAGATATTATTATCCATTCAACAAATTTATAAGAATGCTCAACATACGTAGATTCCACAAAAACTTGACATTTTTATTTATTGTACTCAAAGTTAAAACAAAATTTCTATGTTGATCAGTTTTCCTTACAAGATTTTGTAGTTGACATGCCCCAAGTGTTCATGTCACAAACATTGACTCAAGCAAGTAAGAACAAATAAAAAAATTGAATTCAAAAAGCTCTTCGTGAGATAGCTTTTTCTCACTAATAGTTCATTCCTATTTCTTACAATTTTGTGTGATACAAACATTGTTTAGAATCATCACCTTTCAATTTGTGTGTTATAGAACTACCCATTAAAAAAGTTTCATAATAAAGGCAATATAGTCCAAATATTTCTTTTACAAAAATAGAACAAATGACTATTCACCAATATCCATGTCTATGCACATACTTTTTTAATAGACATATCTATTCATGAAAAATACAACATTTAAGTGACATTTTTTCTTAAAAGAACACAATTATTTGGAACAATTATATATATATATATCATTTGGTAATTTCATACTAGTCACACCATATACTAGTGATAAAGAAATTCAACAACCACAATCCCAAATATACTCCAAGAATTTTGTGGTTCTAAAATAATACAAATCATTGAATTTCATAGCTTTTGCTCCAAAGTTAAATTAGATACCAAGTCTAATCATGAACAAAGATTTTCCACTTTTTAAATATGATCTCAAAAATATTTTTCAAGTATTTGAAAATAGTTTTTTCACATATTTTTCCAGACTCTCAAAATGTCATTAATAATATGAAACCTCTTTTGAAAATATTATTCGACAAAAGTATTATAGAGTATCGATTCTCTTTGACAATCTTTTCATAGTATCAAAGTTCATTCCATAG